ATTGCCAGGGGCGTTGGAACTCCCATTGATATACCTGGGTCATCCAGTCTACGGTTGCCCTCTTGTTCTGGCAACCACCCCAAGCGCACTACAGAGCACGTATCTGAATGCGAAGACATGAACCCGTGGGTCTACTAAATCAGTTATTCCAGGCAGACATGGAAATAAAGGTTCTGAAAGCATTCCGGATAGGGAAAAGGAGTGAAGACAGGACAGCAGCACAACCACCGCGCCTTCTCAAAATTATACTGGAGAACAAAGAGCAAATCAAGTTGATCCTCTCTAAAAAAACTGACCTCAGAAACACACACAAACAGGTATTCTGTCAACCGGACTAGATATGAAGATAGATAATTTTTATTAAAGACCCGTCGGGATCCCATCAAAGCAAGTTAAAATAAATTTACATGCGAGTTTTAGACGAGGTAGGCCGAATCTTTACAAAATGCAATTCATAGTTTCTGAATTAGAAGTCCATTGAGAAACATGATGATTGAGGGGTGAAAAAAAAACCCTCACAAAAAATAATGACAGAAAAAAGCGAGCAGGACTGGCCTGTAGATGGCGGTATATAACGGAATGTTGTCGGTCATCGTCAGGGTAGCAATAAGTGTCAGCCTTGATGGGTACGAATGTGGGTCAGACAGGACTGGCTTGCATATGGCATTGTATACGGGATTCACAATTGAGATCGTCAGGGCAGGATTGGTACGCCGCGTCAAAGAGGCCAGACGAGAGGAACCCAGATGCGATCGGCCACAGCACGCTTCGAGCTCAGCCGAGCAGTGGGGAACGGAGGTACGACCGAACTACTAGTAGACAGTGAATACTGAGGGTTCCGCCGTGAGCGTCGACAGACCGCATGAGGTCGGAATGCGGGAGATGACATCAAAAACTGCGACATTTGTCGCTATGGGAGAGGAGTGATAGCAGTGGATTTAGAAACCAATTCAAAACAGGGGGTTTCAAATGATATAATTAAGAGTTACCACTTGATCTACCACTAAATCCCAGGAGGACCCTTCTCGAAGTCAAGAATCTGAGTGTTCGGGAATGAGAC